CCAGGCTGGAGTGCAGTGGCACCATCTTGGCTCACAGCAACCTCCGCCTCCCAGGTTCAAGTGATTCTCCTGCCTCGGCCTCCTGAGAAGCTGGGATTACAGGCACCCGCCACCACGCCTGGCTAATTTTTGTGTTTTTAGTAGAGATGAGGTTTCACCATGTTGGCTAGGCTGGTCTGAAACTCTTGACTTCAAGTGATCCACTCACCTCAGCCTCCCAAAGTGCTAGGATTACAGGCGTGAGCCACCACACTGGCCGATAATTTTGATTTGGTATATCTGCCTTCCTCCATTGGGCGAAAGTTTTTTGAGAGTAATAAATGATGTTGACATCTGAAGCCTGCTTCCCAGAGTACCTAGGACAAGTTTTTATTCTTGACTGCTTGTCTTTTATTTCCTTATTCCCAGTACCTGTTACAGCTCTTGATTCATAACAAGTGCTAAGTAAATGCTAATTGTATCAATTAATATTCCTTTTTACTTGGAGCTTCAAGTCTAATTTGGGGAAAATAAAGAGCAACAGAAAATAAAACATTTGGTCCAACACATAAAAAGGGTGACAATATTTAAGAGAGTTTGGTTAGACTTGAATATTGTTTCTTTAGAACCTGAATCTCAAGTCTAAGTCTATAACAAGATTTCTCTTCCAGATGATGAGGAATCTGATGAGGAAGCTGTGAAGAAAACCAACAAATGTGTACTAGTCTGGGAGGTAGGTGATCCTTTGTAAAACATTGTAAAACTTTAGCCAACTCCTGATTATTTATACTATTTAAGTAGAGCAATGGAATGTAAGATCTAATCAGTGAATAATCCCTTAAATAATTTATGTTTCTTTTTGGAATCCATTTTTAAATGGTTGGCAATAAATTCTTCCTGATCATCTGTTTAGTTAAATTGATGAGTATTTAGTATATGCTATCTGGGGAAGTGTGTGGACAGTGCTGCTGGTAGCAGGAATACAAATTCTCTACCAAAAATTGTTTATTTCACAGTCATGAATATGAGACTTGGAAAGAGGGGAATGAATTGCTGTGGGATTTACCTTTGGATATAGTGAAGGAAGTATGATACTTAAGAATATAAAGTTAGGAGGCTGGGCAGTGCTGCTTATTAGCTGTGTAATCTGGGCAAGACACTTAATGTCAAATTCTGTTGCCTTAGCTATAAAATGTGGATACTGTTTGCTATCTATATTGTCAATTTTTTGAGAATGAAATTAGATAATTGTGTGATAGTACTTCATAAAATGTGACTAAATCACTCTTCAAGTGGAATATTTTTTATGGTTATCTAGTTCTTTAATCCTTGAAGGCTTCTTAGAGAACCAGTATTAAAACCAGTATTAATGTTTTCATGTTTGTTTTTAGGTATAGTACATGTATATCTTTTTTGGGGGTGGGTGGAGGGTACGGAGTTTTGCTCTTGTTGCTCTGTCGCCTAGGGTGGAGTGCAATGGTGTGATCTCGGCTTACCGCAACCTTTACCTCCCGGGTTCAAGCAATTCTTCTGCCTCAGCCTCCCAAGTAGCTCGGATTACAGGCATACGCCGCCATGCCCAACTAAGTTTTGTATTTTTGGTAGAGACGGGGTTTCTTCATGTTGCTCAGGCTGGTCTCAAACTCCCGACCTCAGGTGATACACCTGCCTTGGCCTCCCAGAGTGCTGGGATTACAGGCATGAGCCACTGTGCCCAGCACCCGCATTTATTTGATTGCTGATATTT